GCTCAGACTCTGGCACAGTATCGGGAACGTTGGAAGCACTGTCTGACGCGTCTGCCTCCGCGACCCGAAATGAGGAGCGGCGATGTAAGATGAAGATGAAGCCCTAGTGTCCGGATCTATGCACAAAATACTTGTAGAAACGTGTCAGCATCAAAACGTATTGCCTTTGGGCATATTCCGTATGGAGAGTTACAGCGTATGAGGCACTCAAAGACTACTACTATTACGGAAAGTAATATTCACCGAATAAAGGTGATTACTAAAGTTTTTCCGCATTACAGCCAAAGGACGGGTAGAATATATGTTAATTTAGAATCACAGCAAATGTGCATAAAAGCGACGGCAAATTATGAACGAGGGATGGTGAAAAATGAGTCTGAGAACGATCGTTGAGCCTGAGCTTTAGCGTTATTATTGATTGTCGGATTATATTTTGAGACTATAATTTGCCTACAAATGTTATAGCCACTGCCTCAACAAAAACCGTCATTTAAAGTGACCATCTCTCTTACAACTTATTTCCGCGATGTGAACCCAGCGCATTAATAAACGAATATATGGTCATAATGAGATTCAAGATACGTAATGTCACATATTAAAAACAAGGCCATTCATGTTGCTAAATAAGAATAAATGTCAAAGAAATAACTGCCTGGCAGTCAAGATTTACCTGCCCGGGCAATGAGACGCGCACCAACCATTTCGCCCATTAGTACGGTGAGGTTTGGAGCCAAGGCGAGCATTCGGTTGCCCAGGTATTCGTTAAGGTGCAATCTGTACTTCTGCAGCATGAGGATCTAAAACAGGGCGACCAGGCATTGTAACGACACAGTCTACACTTATCACAGACGACCGCCAGACCAAATGACTCACCTGGCTGCAAAGATGATTCATTCCTTGAACATCACCGTCTGATATTTCAGTTCCCATGCTTGTTTCAGCTGCTGCTTTGACTTCCTGCTCCAGTTCTGGAGTCAATATATCGGAAAAGTCCGAGTCCGCAATATTAGTTCTCATTCCTGAATAACAAACATGTCAGAATCAGCTGTTTGCTCGCTCGCTTTATGTCTCGTCGCGCGGCCATAAGGAGAAAAATGTTTTAAGGAAGTTCCAAGCAAAAGCCTCAGATGTTCGCTACAACCTCACAGAGAAATGTCGCACCCTCAGCTTATTCATTCAAACGTTCCTCGATCTGAGAATCGTACTTCGTTAGCGGATCAAAGGGAACTTAAACAAAATAATGACAGTTTATACAGAAGCTCGGTTTTGTAAGAGGCTAGGAGTTGCTCCACATGTTCATCCAACAGTTTATGCTGTTTTTTTGTGCGGTCGTAGAGAGCGAGCAACAACCCATCTATCGAATCCGCGTAAATCAGTGTGTAGGATAATTTCTCTAGATGTGCAGACATCATGAATCTCGAAACGGTTCACTCCATATCATAAATCTTGAGGCAATTTTTGGCAGGGCAGTCTTTTGAAGCAGATCAGCGCTGAAAAAAGATACTCTGACAACAAATTCGAAAGGAAGAATTAGGAGTAGATCTCCTACCGTACTGATTATCGAAAAAAGCCTGATAAAACTTTCATGATTCCGCATACC